CCCTGCAAACCAGTGCGAGTCCCTACAAACCACTGCAAACCAGTGCGAGCCCCTACAAACCATTGCAAACTCCTGCAAACCAGTGCGAGCCCCTACAAATCATTGCAAACCCCTGCAAACCAGTGCGAGCCCCTACAAACCATTGCAACCCCCTGCAAACCAGTGCGAGCCCCTGCAAACCATTGCAAACCCCTGCAAACCAGTGTGAGCCCCTACAAACCACTGCAAACCAGTGCGAGCGCCCAGCACTTGTTGCAAGCCCCCGGTTCTCATTGCCTGGCACTGTTGCCTRTTGCAAGCTTCAAACCCCCGGTGCGAGCTCCTGCCTAGTTTGCACCAGAGATTTGGGTGCAAAGAGTCACTGGGCACCCCCTGAGGACACGGTCAGCATGGGGGTTAACCCCTGCATTTGAACCCCTTTTATAACCGGCAGCCCGTCAGCTGCAGCCTTCTGCAAGCTCTGCCAGCCCGTTGCAAGGCCCTGCAGCCTGTTGCACGGCCGCTGCCCGTTGTGCATCGGGCATTTGGGTGCAAAGGGCCTTCTGCAAGCCCTGGTACCTGTTGCAAACCCCTCTACCTGGTTTGCACCAGGGATTTGGGTGCGAAGGGTCACTGGGCACCCCCTGAGGACACCGTTAGCAGGATGCATTTGAACCTCTGTTGTAACCAGCAGCCCCCTGCGTTTGCTGCCAGGGGTCCAGCCCCTTGGCCCGCACAGAGGGGAGGCGGCAGCGATTCCCGTGCCCAGGAGCCGCTGGTGACTCTCTCTGCTCGCGGTGCCAAGGGAAACCCGGCGGCCTCCTGCCCAGAAAGGAGCCAGCAGAGTTTACAGGCTCCAGGGCAACCGCTGCCGCAGCAACGTGCGCCCCAAAAGCTCCTTTTTCATCAGCAGGACCCCCAAATGCCGCAAAGGATACTATGCACTTTGCATCCCGCTGCATGCAATGCCCTCCTCCTTGTGCCCCTTGCATGCGGCGGCCTCCTCCTCGCACCCCACTGCATCCAACACCCACCTCCTCGCACCCTGCTGCACGCAACACCCACGTCCTCGCACCCTGCTGCATGCAACACCTCACACCTCTTGCATGCAACGCCCTTGTCCTCAGACTCCTTGCATGCAACACCCTCCTTCCCACACTCTTTGCATACAGCGCCTGCCTCCTCACATCCCTTGCATGCAACCCTCCTCTTTGCACCCCGCTGCATGCAACCCTCTTCCTCGCACCCCACTGCATGCAACCCTCCTCCTCGCACCCCGCTGCATGCAACCTTCCTCCTTGCACCCGCTGCATGCAACACTCCTCCTCGCACCCCGCTGCATGCAACACCCCCCTCCTTGCACCCCACTGCATGCAACCCTCCTCCTCGCACCCCGCTGCATGCAACACCCCCCTCCTTGCACCCCGCTGCATGCAACC